AGTTGTAAAGATTTCAAAGCCCAATCTATGAACTCAGAAACCTAGGGTTTTCTTTTCCAAAGGAGTATTACTTAACACAGGGCAGTTTTTGTCCTTCGATGGGTTATAAACTGCTGAGCTAAGTCCTCGGAGAGTGTGAAGTTTCTTTGGGGGTTTGGGGACAGATGTGATCACGTTTCCAACTTGCTTCATTTCACTGCTTGGATTGTCAGATTCCACTTAATGAAATAGCTGTATTCCTGAGAAGTTGGCTGTAAAACAAATTGTGTTAGAGAAATCACACTTCCTCCTTGATCTCCATTTTTAAAGATGCATCCCCCTGAGGAAATAATTGGCCCCAAGACTAAATATAAAGTATGCTAAACACTTGATAAACCTTTTAAAATCACATATTTAAAGAAAGTCTTCTGTTAGAACACTAGCACTGATGATATTTTTTGAAGTCAGGAAATACAAATATTTTGCTAAGAACAATTACCAAAGGTGGGACTGTCTTGGGAACAGAGCCATGTGAGTGTTAGGTAAGCAACAGAGTCCCTGATTTTTTTTTTTTTTAATTGAATTCGGTCTGTATTTCTTAGCCTATTGGTCAATCAGGTTTTTTGTTTGTTTGTTTTTTAATTTATTTTTGGCTGCATTGGGTCTTTGTTGCTGCACATGGGCTTTCTTTAGTTGCAGCGAGCAGGGCTATGCTTCGTTGCCGTGCGAGGGCTTCTCATTGCGGTGGCTTCTCTTGCTGTAGAACACAGGCTCTAGGTGCGCGGCTTCAATAGTTGTGGCACGCGGGCTCAGTAGTTGTGTCTCGCGGGCTCTAGAGCACAGGCTTAGTAGTTGTGGCACACAGGCTTAGTTCCTCCATGGCATGTGGGATCTTCCCGGGCCAGGGCTCAAACCGAAGTCCCCTGCATTGGCAGGCGGATTCTTAACCACTGCGCCACCAGGGAAGCCCTCGATCAGTTTATTAATAAGAAGTTGACAAGTTTCAAATTATGTAAACCATTTTCCTAGGTGCCTTGAGAGCCAGAGATGCCCAAGACATGGTCCCTGCTGTCAAAAAGTTTTGATTGCATGGGAAAATAAGACCAGTGCACACGGCATAAAAACGCCATTAGAAAACACTACTATAGCTGCAGGATCGGTGTGAGGGACATCAGGAGACCTGGTGTGCTGCCTCTAGCCCCATGCGTGAGCATGGCCTCCTTTAAACTTCAATTTCCCACATGAAAAATACAGGATTGACCTAAATCCCTAATTCCCAAACTTGACTGTACATAAGAATTTCCAAGTAAAATTATTAACACTCTTCATCCCAGGAGATTCTGATTTAGTAGGTATGAGTGGCATCTAAAATTCTATATTCAGACAACTATTCTAGGCAATTTTTCTGAAGTCAGCCTATGTCCTAGCTCTGTTGATCTGTTTTCTTTTTGTTTTTCTTCCAATAGTCTTTGTAAGTTCTCCATTCGAGTGACAAAGCACTGATCACTTCATAGCCAGAGCACAAATGCTATTAAAGGAAAACTTTGCTTGAATCATTAATCATTAACTCTATAAATTCAGATTTCAGTTTAGTGGTGTTTTTTTTTATTTTTCTTGTTTGTCTGTTTAAGCAGTCCCTATAGGGACCTCATTTCTGGTGATTCAGAGTTTTGTTTTATATATATATATATATATATACTGGTTTTCTATCTGGTTTTGCTATTTTTGCTCCTATTTGAGAAAAAAGTATATGAGGAGAAAGGTAACAATAATGACAATGCAAGCTAAAATATATAAAGCATTTTACTATATACATACTATCTTTCCAGTTTAATCAGAAAGTGTACATATAACAATGGGTAAGCAATGATTGTGCTTTTCCTGTAATTCTACATTTGGTCTGGAGAACACATGATAGTAAACTTAAGCTTCATCGGTTTTTGCAGGATGACTTAAGTGTAATCCTCTCCCTCTGGTAATATACATGTAGGTCAGTGGAGAACATACACTTTCCCCAAATCTTTTTTTTTTTTTAACTAATTTATTTATTTTTGGCTGTGTTGGGTCTTCGTTGCTGTGCGAGGGCTTTCTCCAGTTGCGGCGAGCGGGGTCCACTCTTCATCGCGGTGCGCGGGCCTCTCACTGTCGCGGCCTCTCCCGTTGCGGAGCACAGGCTCCAGACGTGCAGGCTCAGTAGTTGTGGCTCACGGGCTTAGTTGCTCCACGGCATGTGAGATCTTCCCAGACCAGGGCACGAACCCGTGTCCCCTGCATTGGCAGGCAGATTCTTAACCACTGCGCCACCAGGGAAGCCCTCCCCAAATCTTAAGCCATCTAACTTCCTTCCCTACATAAAATTGCCTGATATTAATATATTAATTAATTAATTTATTTATTTATTCACATACAGCAGCACACATGTCCCCACAAAAAACTTTCTAAGTTTTTTACCATGATTGTCCTAATATTTATGTAGTTGCATTTCAGTCTGTGACAGTAATCCGCCCCCCATCAACTTCTCCATTTGGATATTCCTATAACAAATTCATTCAAGCTTGGTTCCCGTAAGTCTTACTGTGGTCACACAAGAACGCGTTTGGATGATAGAATTAAACTAGACGCATAGTCTGTAGTTGGAAACAAGAACAAGAGACCAGAGAACCCTGTGTCATTTTGTTTCTTTGCTTTGATGGTGTCGTACACAGCCTCCCAGGAGATCTGAGGTCCTCCCAGTCACTGTTTTGACACTGGAGCTCAATCCAGAAACAGCTGTCCAGAGCTAATTTATTTTCTAATGCTATGGCACTGTTAATTTATAAATTACACTGGTAATTCGAGCTATTATTAATTTCAGATGGTGTAGGGCAAGCCTAATTAAAATATGACACCAATTGCCACACATATGTACCAAGGACCACCATTTAAAATTAATGGGAATATTAAGCGTGACACTGGTCTCCTCGATGCTTTGCACAGTAATTACAGCATCTAGCGGGGAATATCTGACAAATGTAGCCTCAGGTTGGGCACAAATAAACAACGACAACCTAAAAGGAATCACAAGCTCTTCATTTAAACCTCTTCTCCTTGTTTCCTGCACCCTTCCACAAATCAAGGTTGGTGCTTTTTCCCCTAAAGATGCTTAGGAAACAGTGACAATTAAGGCTCCTGTGACACGGAGAAGGTTCTCACTGGTTGGGACCATGAGGGTCTGTGGGTTGATGTTGACTGTCTTCTCCGTATCCTGGACTTTTGCACGCTGTTTTCTACTTGTCAGCACGTCCCTGGTTCTTCCAGTGAATTAATTAACTCTGACTCGCTTGCTCTAATAGACAGAGGCTATTCTTTTGCTCCCCTGAAGGTCGTAGAGGCAGGAGTGTCCCTGCACATACATGTGGGCTCCATAGGGTATGAAGACACCTGGGAAATGCTCAGGTTGGACTTAGTTCTGGACAGTGACACAGACTTACCATGACCCAGGAACCCTGGCCTCGCTGGGCAGGCAGTGGTCCTTCTGTATAAGAAAGCTGTTGTCTTGTGTGTCCTTGTCATTGCTTCTGTTATTATCTTGACAAAACATGGGGAGCTTAACAATGTCACAGAACACATACAACCATAATTTACATACCACGCACATAATTCTTTGTATTACAGTAGTTTCTTCTTCTTGTCATTTTCGTGCTTTGCATCAGCCGATACGGGTGGTGTTATGGAGGGGTTTTATCACCTGGGGGGCACTGTGCCTCTTCCCTCCCCACTCAGGTGGGGCCCCCTGGGGTTAACGTAGCCTGGCGCCCCCTGAGTCTGGGCGTCCAGGCAGATCACAGGGTGACTGGGACAAGTGTGCAGACATTAGTGTTCCAAAGTGCTCTCATGTAGCTAGTTTTCATTTGTTCCTCCAAACAGCCCTGTGAGGTGTTAGGATTATATATACATTATTCCAGGGAACATGTCTTCTGGTTTCTGGGGACAGTCTCAACTTCTGCTTGTTGTCCCAGAATAACTACTAAAAATAGCACCCATTTTCCCTATGAGATGATGCCAGGTCACAGGGTAAGGTGTGCTATCTTCATTTAACAGAGAGGCAGGCTGATCCCGGGATGCACCCGGTTATTTTGTCATCCCCTGTCTCTCCACGAGGAGGTTAACGCTCAGGGTGACTCTGGGAGGGGACAGTGACGATCCTTTTGCAGGCATTGATGTCCTGGTCTGTCCATATCAGAGGCTCAAGGCCAGACCTCAGAGAGGACGTCGGGTAGGTAGACGTTTGTTACTATTATTCATAAATCTTCAGTGGGGAGACTGAGTCTCTGGACGGGGATGTGACAGTGTGATTCGCAGCCCTGTCTTCTTGCTCTTTCCTCTCTGCCATGTTTGTAGTTAGAGGTTGGAGTCCCTGCTGTTGATTTGTGGCCAGAATCTTGGACCCAAGAGCTCCAGCAGATTGAAGTTTATAAAGTGGATTTCTGCTGATTTAATTGAGTGTCTAAATCTGAAAACAGAAATTTAATTTCATTAGTGTTTCCACTGCCTTTTGCGGCTGTGTGTGTGTGTGTGTGTGTGTAACTGCTAGTGTGGTATGATCACGATCATGGATTCGTGATCTAGGATGATGTCATCAGCTTTGCATTTCAAGGTTCAGCCTAAACGATACCTGGAGACCAGAAAGTTAATACTCACCAAAGGTGCCTAACTCAGATCCCCAGAGCCTGACTGCTTGCTGAGATTCGGGCAGGGTAAATGTCAACATTATTCAACACTTACTGAGGACCAGCAGTTCTCCAGACTCTGTGCTTAGTGCAGGTAGGAACACAAACATTTTAGCTGGTGCATCAGGGAACCAAGACAGAGCTGGCGAAGGACGAGATAAAAGAGTGGAAGGAGGGAGAGTTGGCATGGGTCCCAAGAATCTGGACTTAGAAGTGGCACAGTTCTCTGCAGACGTAACCATTGCACACTTTGTTTTCTAAGTTTGTACCTTTGGTGTTTTTTCTCCTATTCCACCACACCTTCTCCTGCAGCTGTGGGCTTTGTGAGCGAAGATGAATACTTGGAGATCCAGGGCATCACGAGGGAGCAGTCGGGGGACTATGAGTGCAGCGCCTCCAATGATGTGGCTGCCCCAGTGGTGCGGAGAGTCAAGGTCACCGTGAACTGTAAGTGGTTGCAGGAGCCCCCACCCTGCACGTGCCTGAGGCTGCTGCTGTCGTGGCCACAACAGAGAGCTGGGCCTCAGCACCGCGCCCTGGCTCGGGGTAGGAAACAGAGCAGCCTTGCGGTCCGTTTCCTGCTTTTAGGAGCGACAATTCCAAACTCTTTTAAAACATGATAATAAATTGGATCTGAAAGTGATTTCATATGATCCGAAACATGCCTTAACATTCCTGAAAGATCGTGAAGTAGCATTCAATGCATGTTATACAAGCTCATCTTTGAATCCCAATTTTTCCCATACTTTACTCATAATGTCACCAAGCTTCACACTCTCTAGACAGTCATCTCCTTCATAGGGAGCAACCAAATAAATTAAAAGCATGTGTGTGGAGAAAATATTATAATTTCTGTTCATGGTGTACTGATTTTATCTCATCCTTTTCCAATTATGTATGTTGATGGACATGGTATACATTCCTAATTGAACTATAAATAGATAAACATATATCCACATATTAGAGGGTATAGCTCATCCCTGATTTTTCTTACGTGAGGTACTGAACCCAAAAAGCTTGGAGGCCACTGGTCTGGACCCCTCCTCCCCCTTTACCATCCAAATTCTCTCTGACGTTGATGCTGCTCAACTTCCCCCCTCCCTCACGCTCTCCCCTCTCGGTTCCTCGTTATGTACCCTGACACAGTTCTCTGTGACATTCTGAAAGTTTTCCCTGCTGTGCCCAATTTCAGAAAGTCTTAGGACAGACTAGAACCCAAGAACTAAGCCAGCAGACAAGAAACCTTTCTCCTTCAAAACTTAGGTGAGGGTGGAGGTAGAGGAAGAATATCGTGTTTTGGCGATTACTCATTCTTTAATATTTTGGTTTCTGTTGCAATTCAAACCTAATTAACACAAGCAGCATGGAAACAGGTGTAACAATGATACCATTTTTGTACCCTACCACGATTATTTTTAAAGTGACATAAGATGACTTAAGGTTAATAAAGATAAACCTGAAGAGTAAGGAAATGTAAGCAAAGGGAAAACCTATATAGGACAGTAAGTGAAATCTAGGGGAAATCAGTACATAAAATTTATATGCCAAGGTGGTCAGTTGTGGGTCCAGGATTTGGCTTCCAGTTCCTGAAGCAAAGAGGGGAAACATCATTTGGTTTGAGGTTTATGTCCATAAGATAAAAGCAAATTCGTTGCTTGGGAGAAACACTGCTTTTTCTGGTACTGAGACTCGAAAAATAACTTCACGTTAAGGTCTCCACAAATAGAGCACAATGACATCACATGCAATATTTCTGCAATAAACAGAAGGGCGAGTTGGTTGTGGCTGTTTCTCACTATGCATTTCAGTGCAACTGTCGGCATTGTCAAGGGCAGTTTGACAAAGCCTTGGAATGAATGCAGGCCGCGTACTTAGGTCTAGTCGGTCTGGCTGGATTCAGGGGTCCAGTGTAGAACACCTCCAAGAGTGACGGATCTGTGTATCCTTCAGGCAATTCTCCATGAGTATTATTTCTTGCAACTGAGCTTTTGATGGAAATTGAATAGTTCAAGGTTATATACTCTGGCAAGAACCTGGTGTGCAGACAGTCTACAGGGCTGATTAAAGGTGCTGACTGTCAACCCACGGGGTAGAGGGTCCATGGGGGGGCTACATCCTATGAAAGTTGAAAAGTTTAAACAGGAAGTATGCCTGAATACCTGGTCATTCCACCTCTGTCCAGAGGGGAGCAGAAGCAGTACATGTGAGCTTTTCCTTAGAACAATATGGGATGGTTTCATTCTCTGGCACATGGTGGAGACCAGAGGTAGAGCAGGGCATGACAAACACAGTCAGTGACTGCGGCATTTGAGCTGCTATGGGATGTCTTCTCTCTGCAGATCCTCCATATATTTCAGAAGCTAAGGGGACAGGTGTCCCCGTGGGACAGACGGGGACGCTGCAGTGTGAAGCCTCTGCGGTTCCCTCGGCAGAATTCCAGTGGTACAAGGATGACAAAAGGTAAGGCTCCCTCCCCCTCCTCCCCACAAGAAGAAGAAAGCTCTTCCAGGTTCCTGCCTGATTCCACAGGGACGCAAATGGATTCCTGCCAAGTCCTCTCCTGAACTCCTCCTACCTATGAGGGAGAAACAATACACAAACAAGTGTTTTCTTGATATTAATTAACTTCAGCTATGTTTGCGATGTTGCCATGCAGAACTGGCACTCGCCCACCAACAAACCTGAGAAAAACTATTTTTTAAGGGAAGCAAAATCTCAAAGGAAAGGCCACTAGGAGCCTGTGAGTTTTTTATAGGCCTAGAAAATAATGTGTTCTGCCTGCAGCTATTTTTAACACATTCTCAGGCTCGCATTAAGGCGTCAGGAAGGAATGCTCCAGGGCACTAAGTTAGCTGTGTCTGAGGACTCCGGTCCAGTTCCAGCCACTCTCAGGGGTGGTGCATGAAAGCATCCGTGACCCGAGTTAGCCTCCCTTTGTGCCTGGCTTGTACTTTCACTGCAGGAGAAAAGAGAGGGGCCTCTCCCATCCCCTCCTATTGTTGCAGCCGCCATCAGGATGTTTGTCATGATCACTGAAGATTGTCACCATGAGGAGTTAGCAAACGGCACGTTAGCACAGGGTTCAGTGGCTCCGGGGACCAGGCAACATGCGATTACTGTTATCAAAGAGCTATTTTCAGGTGGATGAACGGCAAGTACATGTGCAAGAGCTGTCCATGGTCAGAACACATTCGTAACAATGGGGAGGGGGGCGATACAAAAAGGTCCTGAGGTGTATGTGGGGTAGAAGAGGAGGACAGAGTGACAGAGGCTGAGAAGCTGAGGGAAAAAAGCAACAAAAAGGGGAACTTTGGGAAGGAGAGCAGGTGAGCAATTCCAGGCCAGGACTCATGCCGGGAGAGACCCAGCTGCTGCCTACACGTCTCAGAACATCTCCAGTGCCTTGGGATTCTTTCCTGAAGAGACCAGGAAGTGTTCATAGCAGCGCTGCATACAATAGCCAAGACATGGAAGCAACCTAAGTGTCCATCCACAGGCGAATGGATAAAGAAGATGTGGTACATACATACAATGGAAGACTACTCAGACATCAAAAAGAACGAAATAATGCCATTTGCAGCAATGTGGATGCAGCTAGAGATTATCATAGCAAGTGAAGTAAGTCAGACAGAGACAAATACCATATGATACCTCTTGTATGTGGAGTCTAAAAAAATGACACAAATGAACTTATCTACAAAACAGAAATAGACCCCCAGACATAGAAAACAAACTTATGGTTACCAAAGAGGGAAGGGGTGAGGGATAAATTAGGAGTCTGGGATTAACAGATACACACTAGTATATATAAAATAGATAACCAACAAGGACCTCCTGTATAGCACAGGGAACTATACTCAATATTTTGTAATAACCTATAAAGGAAAAGAATCTGAAGAAGAATATATGTATATAAATGTATAACTGAATCGCTTTGCTGTACACCTGAAACTAATGTAACATTGTAAATCAACTATACTTCAATAAAAAATAAGTTTAAAAAAAGGGGCCGGACACCAAGAGCTCCTCCAGTCTCTGCATCAACCCCTGACTTTGCTTAGAACCAAGAGTTGCTTAGTCAGAGGACCCATTGTGTATCATCATATTCCTTCCAAGTGAGAAGCAGAACTTTTTCATTTTTAGGTACCAATTCTGGCAGCAACTTAGGTGCATTGTATGTGTCTAGCCCTTTTTTTTTTTTTTTTTTTTGCGGTACGTGGGCCTCTCACCGCTCTGGCCTCTCCCGTTGCGGAGCACAGGCTCCGGACGCGCAGGCTCAGCGGCCATGGCTCACGGGCCCAGCCGCTTCGCGGCCTGTGGGATCTTCCCAGACCGGGGCACGAACCTGCGTCCCCTGCGCGGACTCTCAACCACTGCGCCATCAGGGAAGCCCTGTCTAGCCCATTTTGTACATGGAAGTACTGAGACAGAATGAGGAAAAGCAAACTCAGGGAGAGATAAGAAGTAGCTGGCTTTCCTCCTTTTGTCCAAGAATTCAGAATCGAGCAGAAGGGAATAGTATTTTCCCAATAAATAAACATGGGTATCTTTCTTTGAAATCCTGCTTCCTCTTTCTTCCTTTTTATCCTTTCCTTTACTAAGAACAAAAGTGAGACGTGAAGGTCCAGTATCAGAAAACAAAACAAAACAAAAATCTATTGAGCTCCAGGGTAAATTCCTGAACCTTCCATGGCCCGGGCCTTCATGAAAATTAATCAGCCACATCCTGTTTCTCTAATTCTCTGTGGGACGAAAATGTGAGCAAAATGTAGAAGAAAGAAAATCTTAAAATACGTGGAGGAAAGGAGATTAGCCTTTAGGCAAATATGGCCAAAGGTGGGCGTAGGAAGAGAGAGCTTGCTGCTGCGTCACGGAGAGGGGGGCTGCAGGCTTCACCCAGGAGGAAAGAGCCTGGCAGCATCACCGTGGTGGGGAGCGGCTTTCAGAGCCCCTGGCTCAGGCACCTCTGAGTCCTCCTCTGTCTGAGTCCTCGTGGCAGCTCCTTTTCTCTCCTGTAGTAGATTCCGCTCGGTCTCCCATTTGCTGCTCGTGTATTTATTCCCCTGTGTAAATGGGAGGGGAATGGGAGACCATTGAATGCAGTTGTCTGTCCTCCTGGCACCCAGCTCTAGAAGAGCATCTCTGCCTCTGAAGTCTTGTCACTGCCTGACCTTCCTGGGCCACTCGCAGGTCACCTCCTCCAGGCAGGTCTCCCAGGGCGGATTGCACCTGCCTGGGGGAAGACAGCTCTAACCTAGCTCACATTCCTGGTGAGCTGAGGGGATTTCTGAGGCAAATCAAAGGAGTCTATGTGATGGGGGCAGGCAGTTTTCTCAGAATTCAGGGTAGAAATCTGTCTTGACTGTGTACTAGCCACTCGACACCTGCCACCACCGTGTGTGCCATCGATCAGAGGGAGAGGGAAGGGAACCCTGTCGTTAATAAAGACCACTCATCCACAGGACTCCAGCCATTGAAAAGCATTAAGAAGCTGAAGCCTGGTAGTGATGCCGAATCCGGCCTCTGCACCCCAACACTGAAGTACGTCTCAGAGACAGAATTTGGGGTGAAGTAGAAAAGAATAGCTTTATTGCTTTGCCAGGCAGAGGGGGCCACAGCGGGCTAATGCCCTCAGAACTGTGTGTCCCGACCTGGAGGGGTCGTGAGGAGTTTTATAGTGATGGTTCAGAGAGGGCGTGATCAGCTGGTGGACATTCTTCTGACTGGTTGGTGGGGAGCTAAGCGGGAGTCGGCATCACCAACCTTTTGGTTCCATCTGGTCTGGGGTCTACATGCTTGTGGGCAACACACAGGGGGTTTCGGTATCTGCAAAACAGCTGATGTGCACCCCTTGAGGGGGAACGAGGACCCTGCCCCAGGGCCGCACTATTGTGTATTGGCTACTCCTCCCTTGTCTCTGCATGCCCCTCCCTTCCCTGATTAGCATCTGTTTGAACCTGCCCCTGGGAACTCAGGGAAGGTCATGGAGGCTGACTGAAGTGTATTTCCTACAAACAAGCAACAGGGGACACAGAAAGGCTTTTGTGCCCAGGAGCACCACCGGGTCCTGCTTGGTTTCGGCAGTGGTATGGGATGAGGAGGTGTGTGACCACACGGAGGGTCATCCCAGAAGCTGCAAGGCGCTGCTGGGTACCGCTGGCCGCCCTCCTCTGCTTTTAGCTAAAGACATTTCCGAGCTCTCAGGCCGCACCTGCTCTGGGTAAGTGTCTCTGCCCACTGCAGAGCTGAAATCTAGTTCACAGCTTGCTTCTGATGTGAAGGCTTCCTCCCCAGCCCAGGGATGGCATCAGAATGGCAAATGGGATCAATATGCTTGGCGAGCTCAGAGAAGCCTCCTGGCAGGTGGGCTTCAGAGCCTTCTCTGCACAGCACCCCCTGGAGGACCAGCATCTACGGAACATGCTGGAAATAGAACAGTGGTGTCTGGCCGCACAGCCGGACACCTCATTCGGTTTGGACTGTGCTCACGTTTTAATGAAGCCCCTGGACTCAGGCCGGTTCACTGCCCCTAACTTAGGAGAGACAAAGGCTCACAGACGAAAATCTACGGAATGGAAAGCAAGGCAAGTTCCTTCAACCCCACTCTGACTTCCCTGGAGACAGACGTTGGGTTGGGACTGAGGCCAAAATCCTGCTCTTCTCATCATGGTGGTCGTAAGCCTTGGCGAAGGAGAGAGCCATCCTGTCCTCCTACAGAGACGACAGCACCTTCAGATTGTGACAAAACAGCTGACATCTCTGCCAAAAACGTCCTGTGGCCCAGGGACAGGCGGGAGTTTGCAGTGTCTGACTCCACAGAAATGTATTATTTCAAATAACATTTTATGGTTTACAAAGCATTTTCTCATCATTGTCCTGCTGGGCTTTACTTTCTGTTTCTGCCTTGAATATTGTCTCTCGGTTTGACGACTCCGATACCAGCCATTTGCCCCAATTTGTGTCCCACAGGCCTGTCCCCATACGCGATCATCTTGCCGTACTTTACTGTCTACGCGTCCTGCCCCAGCCTGGCCCTACGCAGGCAGCTGACGCTGTGACCAGTTCCCTGAGATCCTCCATTCAGAAGGATGATTTTCCCCACTAGTATTTCTGTTTCCTGTAGCACAGACTCAGCTTCTGGGCAGGGAAGTCAAATTATTGCAGGGGAAGTAAAAGGTTGGCTTAAAGCCCATTTTCCGAAATAGGGCATTCCAGAGTTTGAAAAGAAGAGAGCTGGTCTCGTAATTTCCATGTAGACATGTAAGTTCAGTAGGAATTGCTACTAACAGCCTCCAAAGATGGAGGATGTGGCCCTACCAACCTCTAACGCACGCAGTTTTCTCCTTTCCCTCTCTGTCTGCCCTGTAATGGTGTCTGTGCCTGGCTGTCCTTCCCACTGACTCTCTGTGGCTTTTAGTTAGTGGCCCCGACTGTCGGTACGAGCCCTTGTGGCACACTGGACTCCATGATGGGGTGAAACAGCTCGGGGAGACAGTCCTGGCCACGTAGGGCCTCATTCTCAGGCATCTGTAATCTCTTCCAGGCTGAGTTGCTATAATACTCTGGACGGCTCACCACTCCCAGGCCCTTCGGAGTCCCCTAACGTAAAAACGATCCCCGATTCTTTAATCCTAATCACAGCCCCAAATAAGGTATTATCTGTAGAATGCCTCAAGTTCTTAAGGGATAATTTTATCACTCAGGTGCTTGGAAAAACATTGTTCTTTCAAACCCCTCAGGTTTTCCTCCTCTTTGAAGACCGAGTTTTTCATTTTTCCGGTTGTCATCATCACCACCATCAACATCAATTATGTCCACAATTCCGAGCACCTACCGCACGAATCCTGTTGGGCTGAGCGCACACAGCTGGCACGTTATATTTGTTCAAGGCACCTGCCTTCAGAGAACTTCACTCTCTTCATAGGGAGATGGATATCTGCATTGTGCCAGGGAACGTCTCCAGGCACACACCTAAAACAGAGAAATGCAATTATACGTGTGATTGGGGCCAACTTGTTGTGTAGTTGAATGCAAAAAAAAAATAAGTGATTATAGTGATGACAGAAAGGGGGCAGAGGGAAGGTCATTAATTCCAGAGTCTCTCTTCTTCCTTATGAGAGAAAAAAAAAAAAATATATATATATATATAAAACCATCTCCTTTTTCTCTTTTTGGTCTGTCTTTTGTTTGTCTCAGGCTGGTTGAAGGAAAGAAGGGGGTCAAAGTGGAAAACAGACCTTTCCTCTCCAAACTCATCTTCCTCAACGTCTCTGAACATGACTACGGGAACTACACGTGTGTGGCCTCCAACAAGCTGGGCCACACCAATGCCAGCATCACACTGTTCGGTGAGACGGAAGCCCAGGCTGGGCAACGAAAGAGGGAGGGGCGTGTGGAAGAGGGGGGCAGGAGGGAAGGGCAGCGGGGGCGTGGAAGAGAGTCAGGGGTAGTTAGGCAGGGGTGGGTGAGAAGGGCAAAAAAGGAGGAAGGAGGGGGAGAGAGAGAGAGAGAGAGAGAGGGAAACAGCACACGTATGAAAGTAGACACCAGGTGTCATTCTATACTAGGAAGAATCCTGATATCAGAGAAAAGGATTTGAGGATGCTGAAGTGACGTTGCATTTTTCCCGTCTGTATCTTCTGAACTGACTGGTTATTACAGTTGGGTCTAATAGTCAAGAGCCCAGAGAGGAGCATGCACTATTTCCATGCTCGTTCCCTGGATGAGTGTGAAATGTTACCATTTCTGAAACTTTTTCTGGCCATTGGGACGTAAGAGAAACTGCATTGTATTTATAAAAGTAGAACCATGGGCCTTGGGATCCTGAATGCTATTAGTGCTAGAGGAAGAATTAACATAGAAAATGAGTGTTTCCCGAGTTCTCCATTTGTGTCCAAGGGTGTTGTCTGAAGGGATCTGTCCCAACCAAGCCCCCATCCGGACAGAAGTCCCATAATCATTCATGGGTTAATTCATTCAGTCGCTATTTATTGAGGACTGATGTGTGCAAGGCAAACTGCTGTGCCTTCATTACGTATCCGGCAACTGTACTGGCGCCAGAAACAAGGAAAGGAAGCAAGTAAACAAGCTGCCTCTTAGACCCCGATGTCTCGCACTTCTGTGGGTAGAACAGCTACACAGAAGTGAGTCTGGATGCCCGAGCCTCATCCGGCATCTGTGATGGGTTCCATCCCTGGGTAGAGGCAGATTCTCCCCACAGCCCACAGGGTTAATCTCTGGTTGCTTTGGGGGCAAATCCCTCCAGGCCCCAACAAGTTCAGTTAGCTTGGAATTTTTCGAGTCTGGTCCCACGTCCACCATGTTAACAAGCACTCTTGAATGTTACAGGGAGGGAAAGGTGAGGAAGTTAGCAGAAAATTGGCAGGAACCTAAATCCTTTTTATTCTGAAGACCCGCAGATAATTCCAGAGCTTCAAGTAGCGCCCCTCCCCCTGCCCTGCCAAATCCTCTCCATGGCGCAGTGGACCCAGCCTGCCCTGATAGCCGACCTGTGCTGCTCCACTGTCCCATCTCGATTTCCAAATCACATTCCATCCCCCTTATAAAGCCCAGCTTTATCCAGGAGGGCTGGGAAGGGGAAGCCTTGATCCCAGAGCCGCAGACCCGCATGGGCAGAGCTGTGATTAGAGTGACTGACGTGTCTCACGCCTGCCACACAGGGCCAGTCATCATGGCCCCTCACGTTTGTCAGCCTTTTGGCTTTTGGGCAGGTGTCTGTCTGCATGAACAGAAGGACCATGGTTAGGAAGGGGCAGCCCCCTCCTTCCCTTGCCTTGCAGATCCAAGGTTCCCCCTGAGTTCCCTGCTCTCCACGCATAGCCTTCCTCGTTCCTATAAACAATCTCCCTCCTCCTTTGACCTCTTTGCTCTTCCAAATCAGATGCATGAAATGGTTTTGCAATTGGCTTTATCACTGCTAATTCCCCGGCCTCTTCCCCTTAAGCCATCTAAGATGAGAAGAGAGAGAAGAAGCAAACTTTAAGAGTGAAATCCTGGCATTTGTGACAAGCAATGCAGTGAAGCATGTGCCATAAATCTGCTCCTTTCCGCAGACCCGTGTCTGGCAGTTAAAACCTCTGCCCGCATCCCCACCGGTCTGTCAGCATTCATGTCACCCTGTGTATCATTTGGGACAGTCCTACAGTTGCCAGTTTTCTGGAGTACAGGGGGCTCTCTAAAAACATGTGTTAAAAACTGATAGTATGGATTCAGATAAGTGTAGAAAGCCTGGGTCCAACAAAGATGAACGGGGCCCATGTGGGGATGTTCTTTAACACGGGAGGTCTCAGAGCCTTTACGCACTAAATCTCTAAGAGGGAGAAAAAGTTTGGAGCATTTTTCCAAATTTAATCAAACAGAAACCAAGTTTTTAGCCTCATTTGAGAGAGCGTTTCTGAGGAGCCCGTCACAGCAATGCCGCCTGGGTGACGTAGTACCACGAGGCTATGAAATCCCGCTAACGGGCAAGGTGGGCGTTTCCACCGCATCAGCTCTGCTGTGGCTGGTCCACAGAGCGTGGCCCCTAAACTATTGCCACCCACTATCACTAAGACCTCTTAACAAATATAAATGTATTAGGGAGTTTCCCATGTCGTTTCCTATTATCAGAAGACTCGGCTCAGAGCCATCAAGCCGACTTGAGCAGGCTGGAAAGCAGCGTTTACTTTATGCGAATATACTTTGTGATGAAGCTCATTCTCCTGTAGCATCAGAGAGCTGGCTAAATTAGCATCATTTTGCCACCAACCTGCACATAAGCTGTACACATGACCTGACGTTGAAAAGTGAGGGATGCTGGTGCTGGGAGATTGCCATCAGGGTCCGTATCTTTGAGGTACTTAAGCCAAATAGGGCAGGGGTGGTCTTTCCTATCAAGAACCAGTAGGGTTCTGAGCACCTTGTCCCTAAGGTTCCAGAGGCTGCAGGGGACCAGGAGAGTTTAGCCCCTGTGATCCTGAATCACAGAGGTTCCTGGGAGGACCTTGCTCCTGCCATGGTGCTATGAGGACCAGAAATTCCTGAACTAGGTCTTCCAAAGTGAAACAGTGTGGGTGTGGATGTGACACAAATCTCATCTGGAAAGGGACTTTGGTCCTGTGTTAACCACATCAGCACCCCAGCTCAGCACGCAGAGAGTCCGTGCTCCCTGCGCTGGGGTGCGTACGCATGGCCAGCCCCTCACCTTCCAACCACGGCATCCTGTGTGCATGCACCCCACCTTTCAGCGTTCCTCATGCTGCATCTTGTCCTACCACCTCTGGTTTTTGTGTCTTCTTTTGTTTCTCCATCCCTCCAGAAATGTGTGTGAAAGACAGTATACAAACTATATATGGCCAATATATAGCTACTGTATATAATATATGTGTTTGTTTTCATTTTTCTCTCCTGTATATCCCCACCTGCTTTAGAGCTAAGTGAGCCTACAAGCTCAACTTTGTTACAAGGTCAGTATCCCACCCACCCCTGCTGTCTGGGTTCTCTCCTCCCCGCTTTCTCCCAGACCCCCCTCCCCACCCCCTGCCGTGCATCACCCAAGGCTCCTGTCTGTATAGGTGCTTAGTGAATGGCAGCAGAAGCTAAGGAGGTTACTGGGAGCCGATGAAACTCCAAGGATAGCCCCCTTTTCTCCACTCACCTTGCCCACCTCCCCAGAAGGGCTAGGAGGGGAGAGGAAAGGAAAAGGCACTAACTTCTCAAAGCCCGGAGATCTGATGGAGGCAAAAGGCTGAACCAACAGGCAGAGAAGTCCACCCACTGAGCAGTTTTCATAACAAGAGTCCCGTTGACAGCCCAGCCATAGAAGCGAACATCCTGTGCAGGGAGATTCGGATGGTCCTGAAGCTGCAGCAGCAGATTCACGGGGAGGGTCTCCGGGAAAGAAAGGTGGGCAGGCGTACCTGCGGGATCCTCGGCAGCAGTGACCTGGAGCGGGCGCCACTGAGCCCTAGTCCAGAGCCCAACTTCTGGGTGTTCTTTGAGCTTGGGTAGCTCAGGAAACATCGTTCAGGCTCAATTTCCTCTTCTGTGACATAGAACTGATCTGCCTTATCTATCTGAGAGCTGTTCCAGCCTTCAACTGAGAGCATGTATTAAAAAGGCTTTGAAAATTGTCAGGTGCACGTTAGATTGTTGGAGTCCAGTCTCCGGATACAGGGACCTCCCCCTGTCACGACACAGGGATTCATGAACTCATTTCTCAAGCCCTCTCCCCATCCCCTTTCCACCTCTTCTACTCCAAGTCCTCCCCCCATAGGACACCTGCATCTCTCACCTCTTTTTACTCAGCCCTTCACATCTTCGCAAGCTCCCTAGCCTAGCAAAAGTGATTCATTTAGACTGTGACTAAACATTTGGGCAGGAGTGGGCCCAGGCTGAGTGGTAGAATCAAACACATGCTGTGTGTGCTGTTTATGTTTTCCTCCTAAGGACCGTGCATACCCTCAGAGAGCCCCACAGGAAGGCAGCTGTGACAACAATGGCGGGCATGTCTTTTCCCACCTTCCACCTACCCCCCGATCCTTCTCATCCCACCTGTTCATCCATTCGCGTTGCACAAACAGTCATCGGATGATGGCGTTAGACTTGGAAGGCGGGGGAGGGGATGGAAGAAAATGAATTATATGGGAAGCTGTTTGACATATGAGGAAGAATGCTTTTATCGTGAAATGATTCAGGGATGCATTATTCACCTTAGTGATGTAGGGCACCCTGGTGATAGACAGCAAAGGGGAAAATGAAACAAAGAAATAGAAAAAAAGTGAGGTCAATGGAAGTGTCCAGGTTCAACTTGATCCAACTTACGTTTATCGAACCCCTGGGCGAGGCATATCCGCAGATCTCAAAGAGCGTTAGAAAAGTAGCTAAGGGCATAAATGGTAAAAGGGACGTGTGAGAGACAGGACGTAAAGCAGAACATGCTTCACAAGGGACTCTGAGAAGTGACACAGCTCATTCTGATCACTGAGGTCTTTACTCTCAGAGGGAAAGTGACTTAAAACGGAGTGGTCGGTAAGGAGTTAGAATTCCACCGAAGGTGCCCTCAAGGGTTGGAGGGGGCACATCCCACGCTAAAGCCAACAGTAACAAAACTGATCGGAAACAAACAAATCACTACCTGATACTGAGCATGGGACCAGGAGCAGAGGATCCACCTGCTGACGCAGAGCTGAGCTTTCTCACCTGCTCTGCTGGCCACTGAGTCTGGGGCAGGGTCTGCAGGCCAGCTGTCTACTCTGATTCTACTATGCTCCCACCCTTCACCTTCTTGTTGGGTGCAGGGCAATGGGTCCAAGCCAGAAGCTGCAGTTGGTAGAAACCTGGGACATTCCAAGACTTGGATTAGTGTGGTCCTCCGTGTAGCTGTTGGACTCTTGTACAGCTCAGGAGTATTTTAGAGAAAACAGATCTCGCTCCTGGGATATTTCTCTCATTCATCTCTCTCTCTCTCTCTCTCTCTCTCTGTGTGTGTGTGTGTGTGTGTGTGTGTGTGTGTGTGTGTGCGCGCGCGTGCGTGTGTGTTGTTGTTTTTTCCTCCTCCTTTTCTAGCGTCACATAGAATAGAGAGCTACCTCTTTTCTCAGGGAAATACTCCCAGGTTATGCTCCCCTCACCTCCAGTGGATTTCCAGGGACAAGGAACGCTTGGCTTTAAAAGACATTCCAAGCTATTTTGCTACTTAATATCCGGATGGTCTAGAAAGATTCATATAAGAGAATTTCACTCCTTCTCAGCATTTTCTGCCACCCTTGAAGTATTTCTCTGCTCCCTTTTTGCAAACACAACAGATTGCCTGCCCCCCTCTCATTTTAATATCTGGCGGTGCAGGACGCTTGCCGTGATAACTAAGGACTCGGATACACCGCCATCCCTCACTCCCTACCTCACAGGCATATGTGCCAGGGGCACACTGCATACTCAGCGGCTCGGTGGCTGTTCATTTCCCATCCTCAGGTCCTTTGTCTTTTATCTCCTGGGCAAGGAGTCAGATTTAATGGTATCAGTGGGCTGGGAAAGGTTGGCTGATTAATGCCTGCGAACCTTGCAGTGACCATCAAATCATCTTATTAAAGAAGGCGGAAGTAAGTCAACTCTGTGCATCGGAAGGAAACAATTGCAGTGGCAGAGATGATCTGTTTTTCCCTACAGAGGATGAAAGATAGTTAATTAAGGGCAGCCACCCAGCAGTGAGCATTTCTATGGCACGTGTGTCTAAATACAGAAGGTACCAAAAAAGATCCCTTCACGCTGTTTCTGGAAGGTTTATTTGTCCTGTATAACCATCCTGGTGTGAAACCAGCCCTGCCCCATCCATTAGAATCAGACAGCACCCCTTTGCCCACCTAGGTACTTGGATTCAGCTGGGCTTGGTGACAGAAAGATCACTTCATGGCTTGACCAGAGATATTAACTTGGAGGCTTAAAGGGAGCAGTTCTTTTTTTGTTGTTTTTATGTTATTTTTCTTTCATTTTTTCTTTCTTTCTTTCCCACTCTACCTGGCTTCACCTTAATACATCAACAAAAAGATCACACATTTCAGGCTAGCTCTTGGTGAGAAAAATACATGCTAGATTTGAAGGATTGTTGTTTTTGTCGATAGCCAAGGGTTAACACAAAGCCTTGAGCTCAGGGCTCGTACACGCTTGGAGGTTCGAAGAGGCTCATACTCCCGGAAGCTGTGCCCAGTGGTGTTAGCACCTCGTGATGATAAACATGATGTAGAAACAGTTTCTACATCTCTTCTTAGAACCAAATCACAGGGAGTGGGCTGGAGCTCAGCAGGAGGTCTCCAGTAAATATAAAGAATGCCTTGGTTACTTTCCCTCCTCACTGTGGTGAGACACATGAGTGGCAGAGGGGTTGAAACATTGCCACCAGGAAAAGCCCAAGGTTAAGTTCTAGGAAAGTCCAGAATGAGTGTCAAATAGCCCTTTACCCATGTGGACACCAAGGCATGATGACCTTGGAGATTCACCGGGAAAGGATCTGGATGGAACAACTAAGATGGAGCTGTTTTCAGATCTTTGCCCTCACGGAAGACCACTCCTGGCTCCAGAGCACCGCAGGAGCGTGTGCTTTCACTGTGCGCCTCTTCCAGATAGTTCCAACAAGCCAGACTGCCAGGTAGAACCCCTCCCTGTGTGCTCCCTCCCACAGAGCCCATCACTCTGTGGGCTGCCCTCCCTCACACGTGCCCTACTTTGCACCGCTTGTGGTTTGGGGATGAAAGGCCGTGATGCCTTTATGCCTCCAAGCATCTCTCTGCAGACTGTCCTCCTTCCTTCCAGTCACCCTCTGTCCTGGTACAGGGAGGCTCAAGACAGTGGGGCCCGAATGAGACAATTCATGAAAACAGCCCCTGGTTAGCTACTAGGCTGGGGTTGAGGGCCCAGTAATCTCTCCAGGGGACTGTCCTTGCTAAACGCGCAGCAGACAGCGTGGACCGGCACTCCTGGCTTTTCTCTACCCCCCTGACTGTGCATCAGATCTCCTCTGAGTCACCCCTTTGATCCTTGAGCGTAGATCCGCCCACGGAGTGGCTTCTCAGGGTTGCTAGTGTCCACTTGGATCAAGATTTGCATCGTATCTCAGATGCCTTTAAAGAGTAGACTGAGAGCTTGAATGCACAGGGACATACTCACCTGATTTTGGTCAAATGTTGTAGTTGAGTTTAGGCTGAGTTATTTCTAGGTTGTCTTGCCTTCTACATGCGAGGACCTTTGCACAGAGAATTGTATCACTTCGATGCAAAAGACTTTAATGTCATTTTCTTTTGTTGAGCTTTATTTTCCTTTATTTTAGGTATAATTGATGAGTAAAAGTATAAGATACTTAAAGTGTGCACCATGGTGATTTGATACCCCTATACACTGTGGACGGATTTCCCACCCTCTGTATCCAGGGTGAACATGTGCAGAGGCCCCCAGCTAAAGAGGGAGGTGAAAGATGAGAGGTCATCCCGCTGCTGGCTGGTCAGCAGAACAGGCTCTGTGGATTGGCCTGAGAGCTTGAACTGGTGAATGAGGGTGTTTCCTGGGTCAGCCAGCAGAGAGGGGCTGGTGCCCAGCATTTCCACAGGTGGGTCCCAGAAGCAGGGATGCAGGTCTTAATGCCTTAGGTTGCTCCAGAGAGAGGAAGCCCTCTGGGCCAGCTTCCTGTAGTCTGAATCTGAGAGAGGTCAGCTATCAAAGGTCTGGGCTCCTCTGGTACGTGGAAACTTGCTCCCCAGTATTTCTAAGATGCACTGATAAATGCCAGTTAACTTTACATCTCAAACAGAACTTGGCTACCTGCATTCAGATTGCTGTAGGAGGGCCTATTTATATCAGCCAGTTTTATACTAAAGCCTGCAGACTTCAACTAATTCGAGGATAGCCTGGTGGCCAAAGAAAGAAGGTTACTCTCCAAAAAGTGTTTATTGGCTTGGGACCTCTGGCTGCACGGTACTGGCATACCCCGCTAAGACACGGTAGGGGTGCTGGCTCTCTTTGGGTCAGGGTTCCAATGTGACCATCACTCACATCCTTCCCCGGCCCCCCACTCAACCTATGGCAACTGACTTCCCAGCAAGCCAGAGGGGTGCACGTCTGGGGGCTGGGCTGTGGTCAGAACAGCATGGGGGCTGGGCCGGAAGTTCAGCCTCCTTCCCCCAAACCATCAGAGGGTAAAGTGGGTGTCTCTGGCTGCTCTCTGCCTTAACAGTGGCTTGTTTTTCATTTCTTTTAGAAGTCAAAACCACAGCTCTGACCCCTGGGAAAGGTTGGTATGCTTACTTTCCAGGCAGCTGCTGCCTTGGTGGGCTGAGGTGCCCAAGACTCTTTGCCTTCTTACAAGATGCCTTTTCTTCTGCACTAACCCCAGGAGGCAGCCCGGTGGGAACCGCCTGACCTTGGGCCGGCCCGGTGTCAATTCAGATTAACTGTCCCCAAGGACATCTGATTCTCCCCGGGTGCCTCCCCTGCAGAAGTCTAACTTGTCTTTGCTGCCAGAACTAATGAGGACCTGTCAGTGCCCCAAATAGCTCCATGTCTGGGCCCCTCTGTACCAGGCCCGCCTCTTTCCTTTGCACATGGATGCTCTAATGCAATGATCTTCTTAGACCTTGGCCTTGCATGCTGGCCTCTGCTTACCCCATTCTCTCTTTCTCTCTCTCTAACTTGGAGCTGGAAGGGAAGTGGCAGGAGGGAGGGGAAAGGGGAAGGAAGGGGGAGGTTCTTGGGTGAGTCACTTGGCTACAAATAAATTGCATCTTATTTGAGGCTTTCATTCCATCCAGATGTTTCCGATGGATAATTGACACTCATCACAGTTCTCCGGGACCCTAATGGTCCTGGTGATTAGTCTCTTTAGGCCTCCAGAGCTCTATAATGAGATTGAGGCAATAAAGGCATTCCACGCAGAGTGGAAGCATGGCTGGATGAAGAGCAGAGACCTCATCCGTGTGGCCGAGTCACCGGGCAGGTGGGCTGCACTGTCGCTCTGGCCAGCAAGGGCTCTGAGAGGGCCTTGCTCCAGGAGCTTGGGATCCTATACCTGCCTGGACAGCAGGTCCTCCTCGCATGGCGAGCTTGCTGTGCCGGTCAGTGTGCGAGGGCCTGTGTGCTCCCCACCTTGACCCGTGCCCAGCGGGGCAGGTCCTGTGGCCTCGCGCTCTGCTCTCCTCCTCGCTGGAGATGTGCGAGTTCCACAGAGCGACAGCGCCGAGTTAGTGGAAAGATAATTGTATTTGGAGACAGAAGTCAGGGGACCTTGGGGCAGCCACTTAAGGTCTCCGAGGTTGAGTTTCCACACGTTAGGGCGGGAGATGATAACCTTCATCTCCTACGTGAGGGGATTTATGGGGCCGGAACCCCTTTCCAGTTGCAGGCCCTCCACCTAGAATTTTAACCAATATGGCTTTACTTCTGTGAATATCTTTCCTCAACCACAAGAATTTTCAGTGACTTTTATTGGAAATAGTTCGAAATAGGGGGGAAGGGTGTTCAGACGAGAAAATGGAGGTAAAGCCAGAGGCAAGGTAGGAGAGAATGTTTTGCTTTGTTCTTGGTTTGGTTTGTGGGTTTCTTTCCAAGTAGAATCTTAAGAGAAAGAAAAACAGAGACAACGTAAGCATGGACATGTAGCACAGGTCACGATGTTCTGGTTCCTTCCTTCTTTCAACAAAGGTTTATTAAATACCTGTTGGGGGCCCAGCTAGGCACAGACCCTGCCCTTATGGAGCTCACAGCATAGGGGAAGAAATGCATGTGAGACACATAAAGATAATTGTAGGACAGGGTGGTGCATATTTTAATAGTGGGATGTGTATGGTGCTGTGGAAGCAAACCAGAGTAAGTCAAGGAAGGCTGCCTGGAAGAGGTGACTGGGGCCAGAACAGAACCTGGAACAAGGAGTGCGAGTGAGTCAGGTGAAGAGCATTTCAGGCAGAAGGTGCAAGGATGGGAATTAAATAGGCTGGAAGGTACGCGCTCGTGTGCGCACACGTATGTGTGGTGCCCGCCTGCTGGTGGGGGCGGGGCGCGAGGCTAAGGAGGCAGATGACAGGCAGACTAGGAAATGCAGTGCGTGTCCTACGGAGCAGCTGGGAGGTTTTGTAAAGGCTGAAGGGATCCAATCCATCTGTGGTCTGATCAGCTTGGAGTCACAGACACAGCAGCCTGGAGGTGGCACAAGGAGTCAACCCGAGGGGTCCAGGCGCAGGTGGCGGAGAGCTGGTGCACGTCCTCTGAGAGGATGTGAGGAGACCCCGCCTCCGGGTTTCTCCAGGTACCACCCCTGTTTCCTCCTGCAGGCAGCTGTGTCCTGGAGGGAGGCTGGGCGGGGCAAGGGGAGGGCGCTGGGGGGGGCGAGGCCAGGCTGGAAGTGGTGTCCAGGGGAGTGGCAGCCCCGTGGACCCACCTTGGCCAGGAGGGTGGCCGCGGAACATCACACAGGGAGGGCCCCCGGCACACCCAGCGGCCTTTTCCTTTCTTCTCTGGGAGGAGTTCTCTGACAGGGATCCAGGCCCCCTCCCCACAGGCTCCCTGCGTGCGTCCCAGGGCACAGGCGGAGCCGGAGCAGTACAGGCAACCCGGAGCACCTGCCACGCAAGGCCATTGCCAGGTTCCCCGGGCACTTTTGCCAGCTCCCTGCCGCCACCTGCGGGGCGTTGCAGACTCCGTGGCCGGCAGACAAGGTTCCTGACTTTTCTGAGCTGGTAATCAAGCCAGGCCCCTGCTGGGCTGTCTGCCTGGCGTGTGCATCCTTCATCCTCCTCCCTGGAGGCGTCCGCTGGCCGGGCAGCCCAGAGGGGTGGAAGGCGCCAGAGGCAGAGAGCATCTCCATGCGGGAACTGGCGATGTCCCCCTTCGCTTACCAGGAGCGGGGACGGGAGGGCTGTGTTGGGGGGCAGTGGGGAGTGGGTTTCAAAGCTGTGTGAGCCAGTGTTCAGGAGAGAAAAGAGGTGAGAGAGGAGCCCTGTATGAACAGATGCGTGTCTGTCCAGTCGCCATGAGCCAGGCGTGCAGGATGCGTTTGGAATCGTGGAGCAGTGTGCACCTGGGGAGCGGTGCAGCCACCAACCCTCCCGTCACACTTGGAACCCAGCTGCTCCCAGGGACTCAGAACAACCTCCCTGTCTCAGAGTTGGCCTCGGGCAGAGGCAGGGGTCTCCTGGAAGGATCCTGGAGTGGTCCAGAGAGGAAGGGCTTTCTCACAGGAGAGGAACAGATAACTCCTCACTCTAGAAGCCCTGGGGCTGGCTTCTCTCCGGAGATTCCAGAGACTGCTGTATACATAGCAGTGATTGAATATAAAGGCTAGAGTTTCTGGTGGTGGTTTATATAGAAACATAGTAGTTAGATTTCAGAAGATGCAACCAATTGAATGGTCAACAATAAGCAAGTCTGAATGGTGCTTCTCGGGGATGCTCCTTTGTCACGGGTATCCCAGTGGACTGACAGAAGGAGAGCGTTCAGTTTTGTGTTGCCCAGACGTTCACCTCCCCGGCGGGGAGCAGAAGAGGCGTCTCTTGTCCTTCTCCTCAGGAGAACTTGCGCTGCCAAGAAGTTCGGGCCTTGGGAGCACTGCTGTTGGGGAGAAAGAAAATCTCCTCTATCCTTCTAGGCTCTTCTTGCCGGTCTAAAACTTAAATTGACATAAGACAGAGTAACAGGAGAAAATAAAGCAAAAATTTACTAATATGTATACATGGAAGAGGCCTAGGAAAAGTGATTAACTCACCAAAATGTCCCAAACCCTCACCTTAAATACCACCTTCAGCTAAAGACAAAAGAGGATGTTGGGGGACTTCCCTGGTGGTGCAGTGGTTAAGACTCCACGCTCCCGATGCAGGGGGCCTGGGTTCGATCCCTGGTCGGGGAATAGATCCCACATGCCGCAACTAGGAGTTTACATGCTGCAACTAAGACCTGGTGCAACCAAATAAATAAATAAATGTTTTTAAAAAAAAGAGGATGTTGGGGGTAGAGGCTTAGGACTTCAGAGGGAGGGGAGGTAATTCACATAGAGAAGGAAAGGCGGGTGTTTGGTAGACAGTGATTTCTGGGCCAGGCAGGGAGATGGACACAGAGAGGAGCAATAACTAACAGATTTTGCAGGTTCGTCGCTGTCGCCACACCCAGGTCACACTGTAGTTACCTATGGTGACAGCTCCCTTCCTGGTACAGGTCTTCTTTCTATATTCTTCAGGTGGTTGGGGGAAGGGCAGAGTTTCTTCCTGAGTCTTTTGGGCCTTGATTGCTTTCAGCTGGAAGTAATCTGCATGCCAAAGAGACATTTTGGGGTGACAATTTTGCTCCCCTGCAGTTTGAACCAGGCACCAGAGACACAGAGATCGGATGACCTGGTGCATTTCAAACTCCTGTTTAGCCACTGACCCAGAATCAGAGATTTGTCCCAAAGGTCTAAGGAATAAATCACAGGGACAGTGCTTCCAGGCCAGGACTTCTAGGACTTGGAATGATTCCATATGGAATCAAGAAGCCTGATTTGATGCTGATCTGCATTAGCCAGAAGTGTCTCCATGTCCAGCGTCCGAGTCAGGCAAGCAGGTTCTGGCTTTATCCCTTCAACCCAGTGATGACATGGACTTGCGGCGGCGGGGCACCAGCTTTAAATGCCTCCGTTAAATCCAGTGCAAGAGCCTTCCAGAGTAAGTCCAGTCTGAGAAGATGCCCTGCTTCATTAGGTGCCTAATTCGCCTGGGCATCCAAACTTGTGTGTACTGTTCCTGAATCATAGCTCCATTTATCACGGGCGTTCATGGCCACGGGGCTGAGGGAGCCACAAAGCTTATGCTTCAAGTGACAGGGAAGCTGCTGGGGAATTTTATGACCTCATAGTTTTCTTGCCTCCCAAATGTGGCTCCACGTCAGAGAGTATCTGTGTGCAGGTCAGGCTGGTGTGTGCCTCTTAGGAAAATATGCCATCCATCTCCCCCCCAGCAGACCCACATCATGGCACGTTCTGCATCCCAGTGTCCATGGAAATCTTCCCTTCCTCCTGTGTACACGGCCAGAGGCCACCTGTCCCTTTGCTTCATCCTCCCTCCACCTCAGGCGAGCTGGTTTGGACCTTTCAAGCATGTGATACTTCAGCGAGGTCTGCTGTTACCTGATCCAGATGGGGGAGAGGCCAAGTGTGCTGCCCTGGGACCGAGTGATGGACAGAAGGGGCACCGAGGCCAGTGCAGCAGCCGCAGGGGACAGTTGGTGTGTCCAGCGAGTCCTCTCCTGCATGACAGGAGGGTCACATGAATGTTTAAGGCGGGCAGTGCTCGGAGGGATTGGACGATGATGCAAACAGGGCAGGGGTCTCACTTGATTGAAGTGCTGTGTAAGGTGTTGATTAACCAGCCACCTTTTTCTTGAACTTGCCCCTGAGCCATGGCCTCAGCATGTTCTGACAGCAGAGGAGTAGCAGGCACCTGCACACTGTAACCTGAGGTCCCTCCTGCCCGGGTGGGCGCCCCATCACGTAGCTGTGCCCATGGGATCAAGGCTAACGCAGCCTCTGGGTATGGAGCTGGGATGCTGGATGCTCCCAGTTGGAGGGGCCAGGCTCACGACAGGTGTGTTGTGTCTGCAGGCCCGGGCGCCATCAGCGAAGTGAGCAATGGAACGTCGAGGAGGGCTGGCTGCGTTTGGCTGCTACCTCTTCTGGTTTTGGTTTTGCACCTACTCCTCAAATTTTGATGTGAGTGCCACTTTCCCCGCCGGGGAGAAGCTGCCGTCACCACCGCCACCAACACATCAGCCACGGCGACCAAGAGCAACGCGAGCATCCCCGTTCTAAAGCAGATACAATCCCACGAAATTCAGAGCCTAAGGGGACACAAATTCGAGGGAGGGGAACAGAGAATACTTTGGGAAAACAGGTTGAACAAGGACATTGGAAATCGCCTTGCAGATACGTAGGTACAGCTGAGTTTTCTTTCTTTTTCCAAACGGGAAGAATGCACGCGGCTTTGGACCCACCCGCAAGCTGCATGGCGTGACCTCCATTACCAGTCGGGCAAGGGCTCAGCCGCTCTGCCCACCACAGTGCCCCCCCCCAAGGAAAGTTCTGGAGTCGGCCACCCCAGATTCAATCAGTCAGTAGAGAAGAACTCAGAGGGAGGCTTGCAGGCCCATTCCTGAACTGTGTCCCTATTGTGTGTGTGATGAAACGCAGCAACAAAAAGATAAATAAAAAGGAAAACTAAACAAGACAGCCTGTCAGCTACAATAATACCACAATCAACAGTCACAAAAGATATTGTTAAACTTTTTTTTTTTTGTTTTCATTTTACTACATGGACATCATAGATAACAAGGGATTCTGATTCATTATTAATTTTATTAATTATATTTTCTGATATGAGTCTAAAACTTAGTGCAAAAAACAAGACAAAACTAAAAAAGTACACAAGTGAAAGGGGTGAAGAGAAGTATGTTTGTTAAACGTTAAACATGAATAGTATACTTCTTACTAGGTTTACAACTGGTGGACAACACACCAGGCATTAGCCACCTGGTGAGGATTTGGCAAATCCACCAAAAAAAAAAATAAAAATCCACACATACAATTTAACGAACATCTCCACCAGCGCTACAGATGTCCTCCTCTTCTGGCATTTACTGTAGACAATACTACACTTCTACATGCTGTTTAGAAAAGGAAGGGTGACCTGCACCATATCTTGAGTTTGCTGGCGATGCTTTTTTTGATGACATATATTATACAGTATATATATACATATATATTTTTTTTTGTTAGGGTTCTAGCCATTTTCCTTCTCAGCAGGGTCCTTTCTCAGACATTACTGCATGCTGTATATGGCGTTAGCTGTGTGTTGCTCTTCTAAAAGATGATAGAGTTTACTGGTAATTGTGTAATCGGCTCCTGCCTTTTTATTTTCTTGGGTTATTCACACGTCAGAGACATTTCTAAAAAGTGAAAAGAGAAACAAAACACTTAACACAAGGCGCAGCATCTTTTCCAGGGGCCGCTCTCAGAGGCGAGGGCGAGTGTGGGGGGCCTGGCTTCTCCGTCATGCCTCGGGCACGGACAGACAGCAAGCAGCCGGACCAACTCAGCAGTCAGTAACCACTCGCTTTAGCCCGTTATGGGAATCTCTGATGCCTTTGTGACCACTGGAGAATCGAATCCTCTTGGTTTATTTTATTTAATTTCCCACCTCTGTGTGCGTGTGTGTGAAAGAGAAGGAAATGCAGTTTTTAGGTGATCTTTTCTTCCTCCCCCGAAGTCTGGGAACCAGAGGAGCCTCGGGGAGGGGTCGTGATGTGATGAGGGCAGGTGGGATTAGGGGCTGGGGGAGGGAGGGGTTGTCTCTGACTTGACATTAAAAAGTGTTCCATGTCCCTCTCTACCTGGTGTGGTACCTCATTCTCAAGTGGCGGGGGAGGGGAGCAGAGCCTGCCTGGCTCAGGTGTGAAGGAGTGGAGGGGGGTTGGGCTCTGGGTTCAGGCTACTGCTCTGTGGACCCCTCGTGGGCAGAGTGGGGCCCCCTGTGGAGCGGGCTCTGACGACAGGCAGGGCTTCGGGGAAAGCACCTTCTCCTCCATCAGAAGCACGGGAGGCGGGCCTCGTGGTGACCCCACCTCCACTGCCTTCAGGAGGTCCTGCTGTGGCCACACACCTCCCCTCATAACCTGGGCAGATGGCAAGTCCAGTTAGGGGATGGCTTTCACGTGTGATTATTTCTGGAAGGCATTAGAGTGCAGCCATAGCCCAAAAAGGCCCTGTGGGTGAGTACTGATGAATCCCCAGTCCCATCCTCCAGTGTTTGGGGGACTCTCTTCCATCCAAGCCTGCCCCCCAAACCTTGCCTCTAACTACAAGTTAGGAGAAAAGGTACAGTTTAATGCAGAATAGTTTTCAAATAATTCCAACCTGTTCTGATTGATTCCGGGAATCAAATAAGTAGCTGAAGATTCACCGAGAGGCAGAAATGAGGTCCGAGCCGAATCACCCCGGGATTACCGTGCTTGTGTCCTTGGGGGCAGGTTCCACCTGGGAGGAGAAGGAAGTGTTTGGAAAGCAGTGCTTTCATTTTCAGCTGCTTCTGGAAGCACTGAGAAAATCTTGTTGACATCATGGTTCTTTTTATTTTATACATTCTTTGTTTAATTCTTTTCCATATGGTTTATCACAGGATCCTGAATATAGTTCCCTGTGCTACACAGCAGGACCTTGTTGTTTATCCATCCTGTATGTAATACTTCGCATCTACCAACCCCAAACTCCCAGTCCATCCCCCTCCCTCCCCCCATCCCCTTCGTGTTTCTTTGTGCCCTCTGCCCTTCCGCCCACACCACCAGGTGCCAGATTCTCCGGCTTCTTCCTGGCAGCGTGAACTGGAGTAGTCGGACCAAGCCTCGCAGATCCGGGCTGCGCTGGAGTCATTCCTTCCTTGTGTCTCAGAACTGCTAAAGGCAAGGGGCTCTGGGTCTCCTTTGAATAAAAGTGGGAGAGATTTACTAGCTTCCCTGTGATCGGAACTTCTATAGACACGGACCAGAGGAATTCCGTGCAGATCGTGGGTCACGGGAATAGAGGGAATAGAGTGGGAAAAACACTGGGAATTTCCATACCTCTAAACTTGAGCCCAGAACCCCCCTGAATAAAATGTACCAGGGCATCTGCAGACAGAGTCTTCCTGGATTTTGTCAGGACAAGAGCACAGAGTGGCAGGTAACCTCCATGTGATTCAGAGCTTTCTCTTTCAGGTTTACTAAGCATGGTTTAGTTCACCCGTCAGCATCCTCGCGGGAAGGA